GGTTACATACTTTCTTTCGACGTTTGCTTGCACTGCTTCCTATGTTGTGTATGGGCGGTCAGATATGCGGTTTCCAAATCTTGCATCCGTGTCAGTGTGAGGTAGCCAGAACAGCTAGCTAGAGAGTTGGGGTTTCCAACTGTTTCTAACATTTGCAAATGTTGATTGAATCAATATGCAGCTCAGGCAGTCAGTGGAAAGGCGGAATCAGGTCTGTTAGATTTGCTTATGTGAACTCACTGTTCTGCTCTTGTGTGAATCGCCAATAACACGTCGGCGACGAACTTGATGACACCAGACAGCTGAGAAATAGGTCAACAGCTGCGACAAGCGATGTCCTCGTACTGCTGAAGAAGTGTCACCTTCGTTCACTCCTGTAGCACCTCCCTGTTGTTCCTTATCTTTGTAAGGAAAGGCGCAGCTTTGTACTTGTCTTTTTTGCTGACTGTTTAAATAGTACAAATTATACGTTGTCCGGATCCAAAGTCTCGACATTCTGTAGTTTACTCACTGCCGTCGCAACGTCAGTCAATGACAGTGATTAAAGTTGCAATGCAAAAATTAGGGGCAACTGGTCGCTTTAAGTTTTAAGTCGTCGGCGGTGGGTGACTGAAGACACCAAAGTAGTACTGTCGCCAGGTTTCAAGTATTTCTTCTTCTATTGGTGATCATGACCATCCTTCAGCGCTGCTGACAAGCCAATATCGTACTCATTGAAGCAGACGCAGCTCCATTCTAAACATCTCTTGCACACTGTTTAATCGTTAACGATCAACGGGGTATTTTCGCTGTAAAACGTTTTCACAAGTGCCACTCAATCAATAACTGTATTTAATAAACATTCGACTGGACGATCGTAATCGCCAAAAGGAGATCACAGCACTGAAAGCTTCCTCCGGGCGATTCCATCAATTTTGGCGACCTAGATTCGAGGCAGCTGACGAAACGCGGAAGACGGTGAATCCGTCCGGTTGGTGATCATCATCCAAAACGGCCTTCACATGTCTGCAGCATCTGCAGCGTGCTTCTTCGTTCGTTAGCAGCGGTTGAGGGGACGTCACACTGACACGAGTTACGTCGTCGGCGACTCTTGTCAAGTCGTGCCGACCTTATTGTGATGAAAGAACGACGCTGAAACAAATAACCTTGAAATCGTCGTCGTCGTCGTCGTCGTTGTCACTGACCGTGCAGACACTGGCACCGAACAGGTCGTTAAACTCGCACCGTTAAACAGTGTAATTGGGCCTCCAGGTTCTGGCCACAACAACGCCAGTGGAGCAGAGCAGTGCGTACGTCCTTCCGATCCGCGTCCGATGACTCGTTCTCTGACGCCCCTCGTCGTTTGCAGTCTCGGACTCGGCTTGTCCCTCGTTCTGTTCGCGCCCTCGCTTTGCGCTGATGACGGTACACAGCCTCCTCATCTGATGCCCCCGGATCAGACCGAGCCGCCGCCACCTACCAATCCAAATGCAAGGGGTAAAGAGTCAGTCGATTGTTTAACCATCAACTTTCATCGAAGGATTTAGGCTGGAACAACGATATCGACTGGGTGCCGTTCGACAAAGGCCTCGAAATGATCAAAACGGAGTAAGTACGTCTTATTACGCAACTCACGCGACGAATCTCGTATATTACCTTGGTGACGTTTTGTTTTGATGAAGCCGCGTGGCGAATGACACTTGAACACAAATCATGAATACAGACTCTTCCACAGTTTGGATTTATGCGGTTCGAACGATTACAAATATCTGAGCTCGAATGCAGCTCTGACCCTTTAACCTCATTGCTGTTGCGTAACCTCGCGTAAATGGGCATAGCTGTTTTGTCCATAGTTTTGTCAAGAGTCTCATTCGTTTGTTTCTTCTCACTGCTGTTTATATATTTAGTAATTAATTTACAAGGATGTTTATTTTCTTTGATCTGTGCCGAAAAACATGTACTTTCATGAATTTGTTCAAGTAGAAAGATCGCTCACCTTTGCATAACATAAATTTCTCGGAAGACGGATTTAACCCACCTCGTCGTTAATCCCACCCATTACCTACGTTATTACAGTACGTGCATACGGTATCACATTACCATATGCCAAAAATGACTTCTGTTAGTTCCATTCACAAGATATACATGCAAATCGCACATGCAAAATATCATGGTACAATATAAATAGTTCGATAAATTATGTACATTTTACAACATAAATTGCATGAGAAATAGAAAAATAAATGTTGTTTAATTTGACAGTTCGATCTTCCTTATTAAATTATCAAAAGGTGAACAGGCGCAGATCGTAAAGCATGCTCGTTTTTAGGGACAGCATTTTTCTCAGATAGCTACGGGCGGTTCGAGACCGAGACCACGTTCTATAACTGTTAAGAATAGCTCACATTCACATTTCTTTACAATTTTCATCTTCATCTCCAGATCAATTTTGGTGCATTTATGCATGGACTTGCGTTTCCTACTTCTGCTCGTTTTTCCAATCAATGCTTGTACTCTTACTTGCTTCTACCAAAGTATGAAAGATTAAAACTTATCAAAGTGTATGAATAAGAACCCACAGGACGTCTATGTCCAATAATAAACAAATGAGACTGAAGAAGGCGCACTCATTTACAGCGTAGGTGATCCACCAAGTGAAAGACGGCTGTTCGATAGCATGGATGCAACGTCGGTACCATATGTAAAATTTTCATAACTCCAAGTGTTTTCTATGATCCCTTGAAGGATAAATACTGCAAGTCTGAATTTAGGTTAGTGGAGGCCTGCCTATATACTAACAAAATCGGCGAATATTGCTACGTATGTTATTTTTACGATTAATCGTTGAAAACATAACGATGCACATTTCTAAATATTGTACTGTGATTATGATATATTTTATGCAGATGATCTGCATGAATGCCTTGCAACTCCTAAGAACGAATTGAAGCACATGCATGTTGTAAATTTATTCAACAGAACGATTACAGTAAATATTCGCATTTATCTCCAACCAGAGCATTGGGTGATGTACATCTTTAAGTTTATGTTTAGAATTCAATGGGATTTTGATTTAATGTACCCTTGGATTAGATTGACTAATTTCCTTAAGAAGGGAATTTTAGTTACTGTATTTGATGCCCGCCACCAGGTGAAAAAAAATGCTTGGCAGTTAATGATGTAAGGACAACGGAAGGTATTTGGAGGAGGTGGTGCTTCAATCACAAATTTACAATGAAGAATGGAGTCTGAAAGGCAGCTGCGACGACGACTACGAGACGCTCGCTAAACAACTGGGGCGCTGTGTACACTCAGCCGAGGTAGTAACATCAACGAAAGCGAAAGGAAGTATCTCTGAAGAAATATAGAGTTGGATAGAGAAGGGGAGGATGATGAAAAGACAGAGGACTAAAATTTTGGTGGAGTTCTCTCTTCTCTGCAGGGTACTGCATGGAATCTGAAGGTTAACTTCGAGACCTTCCAGTCGTGAAAATTAGAGAAACAGTCGAAGATTGCCAAAGCATCAGACACAGTAGAAGAGAGTTGGCACCACTCTTTCAGTCGTCCATCACGGCGGATTTACCATCAACATTTGACAGAGTCAAAATGCAGTCTATCTGTAGAAACGCTTACACCCAGCTACTTACGCTAAAGACAAACTCTTCCTCACAATCCCTCCAACAGCCAGAAGCAAGCCACACAACAAATGAATGAAGGAAGAGCCCGAGAGAGAGATGATCAGAAAAATGAAATGATTAGAGGAGATGATCATACTTTGTGAAGGACTCTAGCAGAGAAATTCAGTTGCTAGCTGGAAACGGAAAAGGCGCCGCTATGCCAGCAGGAATCCAGGAATACGGTGAGAAGAAAAATCTGAAGAACCATTGTTAAATCTACCTGCTCGCACAGATCTGCACACACGCTGTTCACCAAGGTCATCTTCAACAGACTTTCAACAAGTCTCGACGACCAGCAACCAAGAAAACAGTCTTGGTTTCAAAGGAGATACAGCACAGGTGATAGGGACATTACTTTAAATTAATTCCTGGAGCAAACGAGGCCATTCAGATTGCTTCTGCGTACTACGAGAAAGTATTCGATATTGTCCAGTACAACATAATGTGGTCTGCACTTGCAGACCATGGTACAGACACCGGATACATCACCCTGCACTAGGAAACGATCTTTGACTGCTTCACAGACATAACGTTGTTTGAAACCCCGTTCTTGCCTTCCGTACAGAACCGCATGGAACAAAAAGGAACATCATGTTCCCCAAACTCTTCAATGTCTATTTGGAAATGATGTTTTGGAGGATAAGCTAGAATCACGGAATTGTATTGTAATATTTATCCAGCAATAGAAAACACTGCAAAAGCATGGGAGACTATACAAAAATGTAAGAATTCGGTTTTTAAGTAAAATTTGTTCACAGTTGGTGCACAGATTCCGCAACGACGAAACTTTTGAAGTCCTGACGGAAACAAAAAACAGCGATGTCTGCCAATCAACTAAAATTTGTAGTTGATGAAGACGATGTCGAAAAATTGATCAACTCACATTCACATGGGGATGAATTATTAAAAGAACTCGTTGAATTAAAAGGAAGAAAAGTAGCTGAAGCTGACGCTTTGAAACCAGAAGAGGAATAGAAATATTTCATAACGTAAGAGATGATAATCGCCTTCCTTGCGATTTCAGCAAAGAACGGAACGATTGGAGAAGCTAGATCCTAATGGCCACGCCTGTTGAAAGTCCACGAGATGATGAATAAGTTTATTATTGAGTGATCGCCAAACAGAAAAAGCCACTATTCAGTCATTTGATGACAACTTCATAAGGAATGTGGAACGGATAAATTAAACACTTAAATTTTTCCATTTTTTCCTACTATTATCCCATATTAAATTACTTCGCAATAGCAACTACATATACAAATCTAATTTTTGTAGCATTTTGTGGATGAAGTAAAAGTGTTTCTATGGATATACCAATGTACTACTATACACGTACTGTAAGCATGTAAGCAATAAAGAGTGATTAACCGCTGGGAATGGAATAAATCCGACTGATACAAAATTTGCTATACTCAAAAGTTTTGCGAAACGAAATTCTTACCTAAGTAGGGGTCTGTAGGGGTCCGGATACAGATACACCCTTCGGTTCGTTTGTTTAGATTTCTAATCAGCACTTGTTCAGACCCTTTTCTCTTGAACGTGAAGAGATATGTCAGATCTAGGTCATCATTACCCATACCATTACCATATTAACGTCAGTGGTGAACAGCTTAGCCACCTTTGACAATTTGTTGTTGGCAGAAAACGCAGAGTCAGCCGCAAGACACGTTGCAAGAGCTCGAGAGAAAAAGTTCAGAAGCCGGATTGAAAATCAATCAGTCAAAGACGAAGATACTTCGATCGATGCCATACCAAACGCCCTGGCAGTGTTAAACGGTGAAAAAATCGAAGAGGTCGAGAAAGGAAAATTGTCATGAGATCAACATGCAGTATGATCAGGCTGGGGAGATTCAACGAAGAAGGAGGGGCAGTTGGTGAGTGTTCCATTCCATCAGAGAACGTC